ATCTATTTAAAATTTATAAAAGCTTCTGAAGGTAGCTTTCCAGGAATAGTATCTTTCTGTGAATACTTTCTGTACTTTCTATGAATTTGTTCATTGAGTTTATGGGTTAACAGCTACTCTGCTCCCATCCCTGTTGTGTTAGCATGGTCTTACCTTGTTAGTCTTCCCCTGAAGTCCTTTCTCACATTACCTCAGGGAACAGCTCATCCTTGGCCTGCTGAGGAGCTGGGGCAAACCTCTGTCCAGAAAGGTCAGGAGAGCAACAGCTGGGTGAGCAACTCCAGCTGCTGTGACAGCTGCCTTTGAACTTGCACTGAGCAAAGCTCCCTTATAGGATGTACAAAGGTGGTCATAGCAGACAGAAACATCTTCTAGACTCCTGTCAAAACATGTCTTACTCCTTAACTTTGTTCTGAATAATAATAAAGTTGAACAAAGTGCTAGGTTGAATTTTGTAAATAGACAGGTGGGTTTTTTTTTCAGTAAGACTGCTTTTCCTGGTGAGGCAGATGGCTCCTTGAAGTTCACATTAATAGCAATAAAATGTGGTGATTGGACAAGTAGAAATGGTTTCAAACTTAAAGAGAGTAGATTTAGGTTAGATATAAGGAAAAAATATTTTACAATGAGGGTGGTGAGGCACTGGAACAGGTTGCACAAAGAGGTGGTGGATGCCCCATTCCTGGAGGTGTTCAAGGCCAGGCTGGACAGGGCTCTGAGCAACCTGATCTGCTGTAGGTGTCCTTGTTCATTGCAGGGGAGTTGGACTAGGTGACCTTTAGACGTCCCTTCCCACTGTAAGGATTCTGTGATTCTATGAAAATGATACATGTATTAAAATAAAAATAAACAACCCACCCCCAAAGAGTCACAACATCTGGTTCATTTGCATGGAGATAAAATCTTCCTGAAAATAACTTCAATTTGGGAAAACAGCTCAAGCTCAGTTATATTATCTGAGCCTGCTGCAGTTCTGTCCTGCAGGGGATGAAGCTAATGCCCTGCCCAGTTGCATGTTCAGTGATCTATTAGTTAAAAGTAGTTTTTCTCCTTTTGGCTAAGGAAAAGGTACATCTTTTAAGTCTTATGTTAATTCTCCAGTGCTTTAGATCACTTAACAGGCCTGGCATTTGCAGGATGGAAGTGCTATTTGCATAATATCAATAGCTTTGCCATGGGAGAAAGAGATCCTTTTATTTTCTGGGGTGCATTCATACAAACACTATGCCAGATGTTTTGGTGAAGTTTGCATTATTGCTTTCGCCAAAAAGATGGTTTTGCAAAACTTACCTTGATATTAGGAGGTGACTCAACTGTGAGTACTCACTGTAATTGTATGTAGTCCCTAATATTCAAACAGAGCCAAGAAATGCTGCTTAATCTCTTCTGATGGTTAAATTGTAATTTCTCTTAACACTGATTTGGCTGACATGCTCTGTTTCCTAGTCAATTGAGGGTGATTTGGACCAAGGAGCTGGCAAGGCTACGGTATTTACGTAATGCCTTTTTTTCTGTGAACCTCAAATGTGGATGGAAACAGCCTCTAATCTTCTTAGTGATCTAAGCAAAGATTGAACGCTTTGGGTCAAGCTGGTTTTCGGGTAGGCTCAGAAAACAAAACAAAATCAGAAAAAAGAAATCCCTTCACAGTGATTACAAATTGAAATATTACCGACCAAGCTAGTTAATATTTCAGTAGTTGATAATATTTTTGATACTCCCCTCATTTGCGAAGACCATATAATTTGTTTTCAACCATACTCTTTGAGACTTCTTGGAAGAAGAACAAACAGCCCTTGTATTAGGCTCTGGGCACTGTTCGCATTCATTCCCGTTGGGCTAGTTTTAAGTTGTATCATGAGGGATGAAAATGCAAGTGTCAGAATAAGCAGCGTTACCGAGGCTTCCCTTCCTTGATGAGCTTTGAATGGCTGGAAAAGATTGCAGACTTGACCTAAATCCTTCTTGCACATGGTAAGAGATGGAGCTCATGAGATGGCTGTGTCTATAACTCAGTTATTAAAACATTCTGACTGATTTTTGTGGTGTGTTTCAGAAATGTGGCTTTTCAGACACTATTACTGTCAAATTAGAAATGTGTTTTAGAAAACAAAATAATTTAAGTGGATAAATATGGTGCACTTAAGCTAGAAGTGACACTGCACACTTCATTAGAAAACACATTTCATACTTCATGTGTCTTGACTCCCTGTTTTTTTTTTTCTGAACAGTGTGCAAGTGCAGTAAATACAAATGAAGGGGAAAAAAAATAGTTTATCTTACTAGCAGTTTAGTTTTTCTTCAGGCTTAGTTCCCCTATCCAGAAAAAGTATGTTAAGACATGTAATGTGAGTTCACACTATCTAAAATTACTCAGATCGATTTTTCAGAGCATGAAAGCTTGTAAGAGCTGCTGGTCCTCTGAAAATCTGCATTCTCATGCTTACAAACCAAATGGTTCACTTCTTATGTGGTTACTTTTCTGCTGGCTGTAACAGCAGACATATATTTTTTTTCTTTACTTTACGTTCAATAATAGAATCAAGATTATATCCATCCCCTGCTTGAACTTGCCACTGCTGCATTCATTAACGTTCTGAATATTTGATGCAAATTGTTTCTAATTAACGTGCTTCTAAATAAAGAAAAAAAGGTATTCTTAAATACATGTGTGCCATCTGATTAAATAGCATTTTATTCTCTGCTATGAAGACCTTTACAATTTTAGGACCTTTTTGAAATTGTTGTTGTTATTATCCTTTTACAGCCATTATTATTCCTGTAAGTGGTGCATCGTAGAATGAAACCCTTTTTATCTGTGTTGTAGTTAATAACCAGAAATAGCCTTCTGAAAACATAGTAAGGCAGGTAAGAACATGATTAGTTATTGAGAGAAAAGAATGCCAATTAACCATACTCTGCTTTAAAGTAGTATAATTTTGACTTTTCCACTAAGCAAAGGGAAATACTTAACAGCTGCTGTCTTTGCAGTATGAGTTGTCAAGGTAGCATACATTAGAAAGAGAGAAATGCTTCTGTGTCATTTTTTCTCCCTTCACCTGCAAAGTAGAAAATATGATTTGCTAAAAAATAATATGTTTTTTTAAATGTCTCAACTTTGCCACTATGATTACCTGGAAGTAGGTATAAAGAGCATAAGAAAAGTTTGGTTCTCATCATAAAGCATCACATAGCATCATAAAATTTGAAAACATTTAGGAAGGAAGGAAAAAATCTATATACGGTTTTCAATATATGTGCATATATTCTTTTTTAAGGGCTCAAAATGTTTATACACACATGGTTGCAGTAATCAGGGTAGATTATCACAGGAGTCCAGATGGTGCTTGTGAGATTTTATCGAGGAAGTCGATCAAATCTGACCATTGGATTCAGTGTTGTTATACCAATTGAAAGAAATACAAAATAAAATGGAGGTTGTGGCCTTAGAAAGCAGTCAGTCAGTGAGATTAAGCCAATTTAACATTGCTCAGCCCTTCCTCCCTTCTCCCCCCTCTCCCCATTCCAGCAGCATGATCCCATTACTCCTTTTTGGCTGCTCTGCTACACGTGTCCAAGCCACAGAGAACACCATCTCCTTCACTGTGTTAGTTTTTGCCTGGGTGAGAAATTCTCTCGGCACTGGGGAACAAACAGGGGTGCCAGCATCAGTGGGAACCCACAGCCAGAGGCCACAGAACAGCATCTGGGAATGGCAGTGTGGATTTAAGTCAGACTGAAAACAATGTGAAGTGCAGCCAGAGCTCTACATGTATTGTGCCCTCTGTAACCACCGCTGTAACACACGAGAACACAGAGAAATATGCCACTAGGCTAATTAAGGGCTCTTCTTCCAAAGAGGCTTTTGTTTCAAGCTTTGCTTCTGCCGAACTTCTGAATGTAGCCATCTATTTCCTCAGGTTTAGGCTTGTCCGTAGTCCTAGCTGTAGAGAAAATAGCCTTTATGAAACCACAGTAACAATGCAAATTTTAAAGCCTTGGTTAAGATTTTGTCTTATTTTAATATATACACCAATATGGTACAGGATATGCAAATTTTATGTTTTGCACTGGGTATGTAAGCATTTAACACTAGCATACTGTTGTAGACATTATTTTGTTGTTTTGTTTCTGACAAAGATTTCTTGCATCACTAATAAGAAATGGTTGCGACTCAAGGAAAGTGTAAGAAAAAGACTTTAACCATGAGCACGAGTGCTCAGCTATTCTATAATAGCCCTGTTCATGAAGCTGGATGTTGCTTACATGTATGTTATTTGAAATAGAAAGACTTATTTAAGTGAGGCTTCTCTTGTCAGAGAGGGGATCTGCATGTTTTCCTCTAAAAGCAGTGTCAATCTGACTTCTGCTTTAGTGGAAGTTGTGAATGGTTATTAGTGATTTCAGTAGGATTTTGGAGTTTTTTCATGCTTAGTGTGTATGAAAAAAATCTATTAATATTTCTTTAAATCAGCTGCATCTGTTTCTGAAAACATCCATGAATGTCTTATTTGAAAGCCAGTGCTTTTGCAGCTCTTGCTGATTTTTAAAATATTTGTACCACTTCAGTAAATGAGATCAGATTCAGCTTGACCACTGCTTTCACAAACTGATAGGGATACAGTTCTCTTCCACATCATAAGAAAGTAAAGAAATGTACAATGTTAAAACGGGTTTGAATTAGGTACACTTTCCCAAATTTAATACTGCAAGATTGCTTTCTTTCCCATTCACTACTGTCTTTTTTCTTTTTTCTTCTTCCTTCTTCCTTTTTTCTTTTTTTGAATAAAAAGGCAATGTCTTGGTTTATCCACTTTTACAGGATGAGATCAACCAGTCTTAGAAAACATACCGCAATTTCCACCTTAGTTTAAATGTCCTTACTGGATTTTTGTGCCTGAAATATCCCATTGTATTTCCTTTCATTTTATCTCATGCTCTGTACTGATAATTAAAGCAATGGGGCACTGTTTGTAATTGCTATTTATTTTTCTCTCTAGCTGTGTGCCGCCCACCTGCCAACCCGATCAGAGGCACCGAACCACTATCAAGCAGTGTGCCGAGCTCTGTTTGCTGAAACAATGGAGCTGTACACTTTCTTGGCCAAAATTAAAAGTGCAAAAGAGGTAAGCTTTTGAACTTGTTTTTATGTGAATTAGGATTACAAAATCACTTCTGTACCCAGCCAGCTGTAGATGTCAAATGCATCTGAAAACTGACGGTAGTGTTAAGGCAGAGTAGTTCTACAGCCAAGTTATGGTGGGGTTTGCATTATGTTATGGTTTTTTTTAGTTTTCCTTTGGTCTATCAGCATCTGCATCAGCATCATAGGAATTGTCAGTAATTGTGACCAGTCTATTTGGGAGGAAACCAGAACCTTTACTTGGAATGTTCTTTCATTCCAGCATACAAATATGCGATGTGTTTGAGTCTGAAAACTTTCTGGTGTTTCAGGGATGTTGTTAAGAGTCTGAGCTTTAACTGTTGTTCCTCAGCTCCTTCTTATACCTTGTCTTTGGCTGGGAATTTTCTAGGTTCTTCTTGCTCGTGTTTTGTCCCCAGTCAGCAACTTTCCTTACCTTTCCTGTATGGTTGGCTTGTCTGTCACGTACTTCACAGCAGAGTCAACTGAAATAAATAAATACATAAATCCACTTGTAGGTAATGCTTCCTGTGTTTACTGCTGGCTTGGTTGTTACTGTTGTCTGAAAGGCCATCCTATGATCCACTTCAGTTAAATGATTTGGCGGAAGAATAACTTTGAGGGTGGGTGGATTTTTCTTGATGATGGTTGATAGTTTTGGTGATCTGATCTGCAGAATAGCTCCATAAATTGTCTCATATTAACACATCATGTTTATTTCATTGGAAAGCCAGCGAGTGGGGGGAAAGGCAGAAAGGTAAGGGTGCTTTTAAAGACTGGCTTCTTCACAAAAGCCAATCTGACAATTACTCTTTTTTAGTAAAAGTCTGAGGGGTTTTCTTCTGTGTAAGGTCCAAATAACCTTTTGAAAAGCAGTGGAAAATCTTACAGGTTGATACAACTATTATGCTTCTCAAAGAGGCTGAGCTGTTTCACCCATGCGTGCATACTCCCACTACTTTGCTTCTGCTGATCCTAGAAAAAGTATGCAGCAAGTAAATAAAAAGTAAAAAATGATAATAAAAAAAGAATCTGTCCTTGTCAAGTTAATGAGCTGAATCAGCTCATTGTTGGGTCAGATGGGCCCCGGAGCAGCACAAGAGAGTTCTGTTGTCACACTGGTGGAAAATGCAACCAGTCAGAGGCATAAGAGGCTGGTGCTGTTCTTCCTGTTCAGAGACATGGCTGAGATGAATCCATCCAATGGGGACACTCCTCCAGTGATATTTTTCTATTGCACAGGGTCAAGTTTCACCTCCATTTGTCCTCCAGTCCTTCTCAAGCTGAAGGCAATTTTTAAACTGAAGCAGTATCATATGCGGATAATTTCGACAGTGTCAGCATGGCTAAAGAGCCACTTGTTTTCTGAAGTGCCTGTGGTACAGTTCATCTGCACTCAATGCAGATAACACCGAGAGCATCTCAGTTCTAAAGCCATCTCCTGAACCTTGACATCATTAATTTCACATCTGAGCATTTGACTGCTCCTTATTGTCCCAACCATTGGATATACTAATTGAATGATGTGTGCTAGAAATGTCTTAACTAACAGCTAGTGCAAAGTCTGTGCTGAGGCTCGAAGATAAGACCCTTTTGGCTTCTTTTTCCCAGTTAGAGAAGTGCATTTCCAGCAGTTATTAAAGATTTCAATGACATTAAGTGGTAATGAGGTGTCTGTATTGCCAATGTTGCAGTGAAATGCTGTGTTTTATAATTATTTCTATTATCTTAAAAACATTTTTTTGTTTGTTTATTAAAATAAGCATAAGGATGTTTTGAATGTGTAGATTATTTAATCATCTTGTAACTGGACATAAAAACCCAACGTCTGATAACACCACAGAACATACTATGAGTTAACTGCAAGGGAAGGGAACCATTTGCCTCTCAAAGGCTCTTAGGGATTGTTTCAAAGCACATTTAGGTCAGAGGAGGTAATCCTTGTAGATGGAATTCTGGCCCTACCGAAACCAATGAGACTTTTATCACTGCACTTCCTGAAGCCAGAATTTTGATCCTTTGATTTAATTTTAGCCTGAATCAGTCTCCCTGTGGGCATAAAAGAAATGAGCAAGAAAATAGTCCAGAAGCAGCTTGTAAGACCATTAATTCCTTTTCTGATGTGCTAGACCCTTGCTTGTAGTTTTTATCCAACTATAGGTTCAGATACAGCATGATTCTTGAAAATAACGTAGCATAAAAAAGAAAAATAGATGAAGCAAATACAAGATGGAATGCTGTAAATCTTGTTATTACCATTTTTAAATAACCTCTATGGTTTATACTTTAGACAGGTAGAAGTCACGTGATCACGGCAGGTTTGTACCACTGAAAACTGCAGTGTTATTGATGCGTTCTTATTCAAATACATGGAAGAATCTTGAATTTTTGTGAGGAATATGGTTAAGCACAATTCAAGTCAATAAATTCCCTTTCATTTTTTAATGGTCATATGGGTAGGGGTATAAAGGAGAGAAATGTATCATACTTAAGTGAGAATATTTTATCATCATCAATTTGTAGTGATTGCAATGATAAGGAATTGGGGAAAAAGAAGTCATATGTATCAGCTTCAATTAAAAAAAAGAACAAATTTATACTGTGTAATATTGTGTCTCTGATACTAAAGATAGCAGGAGTTTTAAACTACTAGTTCATTTTGAAAACTGGGAACTTAATTTGGAGAGCTTCCTTTAGAATCCTTCAAACCTAGACACAGTTGTGGCAATGAGATGAAAATAAAATTAAAAATTCTAAATAGGGGGGAAATCCTCTAAAATGACTTGAAGTAACTTTCCTCTGAATAAAAGCCACTTGGGCTCATACTAGGACAATTGTGTTGTATCTGGAGATCCATTTCCCAGATACAGGAAGCTCACTCTTTTTGCTCAGTAGGCACTTAAACAGCCAACAGAATTTCAGTGGAAGAGGGAGAACTGGTCTGCAGAAATTCAGTCTCCAAGAATGGACTAAATCTGATCTTGTAGTATAGCACAGAATGGGGTCAGCAGCAAAGTATGCTTTGAAACAGGTAGAAAAAAATATTACTGTGATGCTGTTTTCAATTTGCCTCCATACCAACTTGTCAGAATTTTGAAAGTTATTGGCATTTAAGTGGGCTGGATCAGGGACAGGATGTATGGACCTGTAGGATCATGTTTAGTTACCAGCACATCTACCAGGCATCCACGTGTTTCCAGTCTGTCACGTGAACATTGCTATCATCATAGCAAATGGAGCGTAGCTTCAGATAGGGCTTTACTGGCACGCATTTGGGTGAGTGCATTACTCAGAAATGATGAAACAGTGAGTGAGCCATTAATGTCATCTCCATGGATGTCACATAAAATGTTTCAGGCATTTTGTCACATACTTGATATTATTGGATTTCTATTAAAATCCATTTGAATTTTATTTCTGGTGTGATTCTTTGTGTTTAAGGGGTCAGCAGCAGAGATGACTTGCAGACAGGCAGATGACGTTTCCACTTTTAAATAAGAGAATGAAATGTTAGGTCTAATAGTTGTAAAGGGAGGACTCAAACCAGAGATGAGACAGGTATGATACTACCATTGCAATAATTAAATAAAACCAACAGAATAATAGCAATAAAAATGCATATTTCTTCAGAATAAGAGCAGCAAGTCCCAGAGTGGGGTTGAAATTTAGTTCATTAATCTGACCTAACTTTGCATCTTTTTGCAGGGTAAAGGTATTGAATCATGTTAACTGGGTTGGTTTATTTTTCAGCTTCCTGGAAGCATCTGTATGCTGCTCGGGCTCTGCAAAAGTTACCCTGGCTGCAGATGCTCCCTGTGTACCATCTGCTGCCATCCAAAGTGGTCTTTGGATGCGCTAAGATCTACTAACTCCATATCCCGCTGTGCAGACACTTACAGCTGATGTCAAAAATAAGACACAGCTTATTTCTCGCCTCAGGCGGGAAGCTTTTAAAATTGCAGTAAGGAACTTCCTCAAAAAGGGGATTTCCTCATTCTTAGTTTAACAGTGGACAACGCTGTTAAATGGACAGCAAGGTGGAGGAAATTTATGTGTGTGTGAAGGTAGCTTGAATGACTATGAAAATGAATGTAGTCTGAAAGAAAAGATCTGCAAGAAAGACATTGAGGCCCTAGAGTGTGTTCTATGATTATTTTTTTTTCAGAATCATCAAAAAGTCATTGAGATCACCTTTGCTGGCACCTAGTAATAGACAGAACTGAAGGCACAAATGATTGATAGCCATGAGATAAATGTTGTGGAGTATCTGTAAAAGGTCACATATATAAAGATGGCAACAAGTGTGACTCTGAGAGACACAGAGGCTATTTAAGCAAGGAATACAGAAATCGCTGTTATAGACTGGAGTGCAGATCCACTCTGCTGTCTGTGTTGTGAGGCTGATTTATGGAGAGGTTATCTTCCCTAGTCCTCCTTCAACTCCATGTTACAGCTCAGGCTTACTTCCTTCTGAAGGAAATGCTCCACATGTGCTTACTGCCTGAGTGACCAGTAATGCATCCTTGCTGCAAAAAAAGTTTATAGTGTCTAGGGCTGCATTAGGTAAAGTATTGCCAGCAGGCCGAGGGAGGTGATCCTTCTTGTTGGTGAGGCCATGCTGACAGTGCAGAGTCCAGTTCTGGGCTCCCAGTATAAGAGAGACATGGACATACTGAAGAGAGTCCAATGAAGGGCCAGGAAGACAATGAAGGGAAATATATCTACTGTGAGGACAGGATGAGTGAGCTGGGACTGTTCAGCCTGGAGAAGAAGAGGCTCAGGAGGGAATGATATCAATGTCTATAAACTCTGGAAGGGTGGATGCAAAGGGAACAGGTCCAGGCTCTTTTCAGTGGTGCCCAATGCCAGCACAAGAGGCTGGGGCACAAACTGGAGCACAGGAGGTTCCCTCTGAGCAGCAGGGGGGAACCTTCTGTGCTGTGCAGGTGACGGAGCACTGGCACAGGCTGCACAGAGGCTGTG